TTTGACTTAAACAGCTTTCATTGATGACAGACTGGTTGCATGCTTAGATCAAGGCAGCATAAAGCCTCAGGGGAGATTTGACTGAGTGATCTCACTTTTAATCCACACTGGACCCGGTAGGGAGGGGAGGTCTGACTCAGCAACCTCCTGGTCTGCCCGGTCACCTGACTCGTGGCGGTAGCAGGAAGTTTGGTGGCAAGGCCAGGTGCAATATAATTAATATCATGTTTTATGTAATTAAGGAGAATAAGCACACATTTACAATGATGGTCTAGCAGGATACATGATGTGGCCAAGGTAATCAAAATGCAAAACATAGTTCTAGGAATCAGTTCTCCCATTAAAACTAATTTAGAACAACAAATCAACACCTTACCAGCCTCCATCGAAGTTAGGCATACCATGTGGGAAATGACAGCAAAGTATATCACTTGCCTGTTTACTTAGAAACATGTGTATGTTCTGCGGCTAGACTCTGGAAGTTGGAGTTGAAGGAGTTTTTTTTCTCCTGAATAAAATGTGCACCGATCTGACAAAGCTGGCTGGAAATCTTATTTTGTTGACAGTCAAGTGGGTATGAAAATCAGATTTGAGAACACACGGCCAAGATTTGTCTCCAGCCTCCAGCTGGTAAGTGTGTATCAACACTATGTTTTAACAGGTGAAAAGAAAGCGGGATCATATCTATGGATCTTTGGTAACACATGACTGATCTAGATTCTATTTTTGCATTATGCAAATCTTTAAACTCCTTTGTTCGGAGGATGAAACCAAAAATAGCCACATACTCTCTCTAGTCTTGGTCAGTTGATAGAGTTCAGAAGGTGTGAGTGTGTTCTGTACGTGTGTGTGGGATTGCTGCTTTAAAACAATGTTACAGGCTATTGTGTAGCAGAGGTCTGTAACCTGGGTTCCAGATGTGAACAAACAAGCATTATCAAAGGGTGACGGGGACAGTATTAGACAGGTTTCACTTACATGGATGATTTATTTTAATTTTTTTCCCCTTATTGTGTGGAATTCCACTGAAGAGAGGACAACGTTTGGAAAGATAAATAAAATGGGAATCCATGGAAAGTCCCTGCATAACGCAATGAACCTGATGCTCTAAGAGAGAAAAATCAGTGTGTACACACATAGGTCTATATAGGTTTTTTTCCGACATAACTGTGCGTGTGTGTGTGTGTGTTTGGTTGGCCAGTGTGTGTTTGCATGCATTCGCTGTATGGGTGCAAATGTGTATATGGGTGCATGCATTTGTGTGTATGCATTTTTGTGGCTGTGTGTGTGTTCATTGTGGGTTCTGTAAATACTCATGGTTGTGTAGGTGCGGTGTTTAGTGTTTTGCTCTCGGTCGCCACAGCAAAGTGACCTGATAAAAATCGAAAAAGATTTATCACATTCCAGTATTTGCATTCAGGAAGAAAAAGGTTTGGATACTATGTCGGGTGAGGTCATGATCTGTGATGGAGAGAGCAAGAAATAAAGGATAAGAGGGAGAATTAAAGGCTGAGGAAGATGGAGCAAAAACCACAAGAGATGAATAGATCAGAGAGCCAACTAGATGACAAGCTAGTGGTGTGTGTGTGTGTGTGTGTGTGTGTGTGTGTGTGTGTGTGTGTGTGTGTGTGTGTGTGTGTGTGTGTGTGTGTGTGTGTGTGTGTGTGTGTGTGTGTGTGTGTGTGTGTGTGTGTGTGTGCGTGCGCATGTGCACGAGATGTTGCATGTGCTTGTGCACCTGGTATGAGACAGAGAAAGGGGGAGAGAGAGAGGAGAGGGGAGCAAGGGATGTAAGTTGACAAAAGCAACAAAGTCAAAACATTGGACCACAAACATAAGTGAGCTCTTACGAAAGCTTGATGGAGAGACATGGCAGACAATGTGGCACATTCATCACTAAAAACATCAACATAAACAACTGGAGGCAAACAGTATGGACACTGCATAACAGGTTAAGGAAGCATCAGGCACACACAACCTGTTTACACAAAACATTTCTCAGCACTCATCATCCTAATGTTGTTATGTTCCTCTAGTGATTGGCAATGACGCAAGCCACACCAGTCATCTCCATTGCATTTACCCCCATGCATTTCTGAGTCTCATCTTTAATGCTAAAATGTTACCGATGAGCACAGCTGCCTTTGTAAGGTAGAACCTGCAGTCAGGTTATTTAACCCCCTCTGGTGGACACAATTAGCAGTACATCTGCTGTTTGGTTGTAGTTTACAACACAACTCTGGGCAGCAGTACTGCGTCATTCCCTCTTTTTATAGCTGTGACCCTGGAGTTTCCCTACAGCCCTGTGTTGTCTGTCCCACTAGGAGTTTTCTTAGTCACTGCATATGTTGTTATCCTTGCTCCCTGGAGAAAACATCCTGTGGGTTCTGGGCATTTGCTCTTATTGTTGACATTTGGGGAGGCCGAATGTGGGTGAACTTACAGTGACCCGATCCACCACACTCCCCTCAGGGGAGCTACTGTCTCCAAGCACAGAAAACAGTCATCCGATGGAGGTGCTAGACTAATTATTTCCTCATGGTGCCGTGACTTGTGTCAGGATGAGTAAAATTGCTCGGATGCAAATTACTAACGGGTTACTCTGTGTCTGGTTTTCTCTTTCAGAGGGAGCATGCATTTGACTCAGACGTGGAGCCCCACAGGTTCAGGTCTCTGCCAGAAATGAGCAACAGATCAGCCAATGACCTCACCAACCTTGAGGTAATGCTCTGATAATTTATTTGTTTGTGTGTGCATGAAGTGAGAGGCTGTTTGGTTTATATCATTGTTACATCTTGCCACACCCATGCTTTGTCTCTAAGTGTGTCTGTGTTGTTTACAGCTGAAGCCCACACTGTCTCAGCTGCACGCTGACCTGAAGCTGTACGAGCATCACTTTGAGTGGCTCAACAGGGTTTCAAAGAAGCACCACCACCCTGCGCTGCCCAAGCTGGTGGAGATGATCAGAGAAATGAAATCTCTCAGCAATCTGCTTCACCGTCAGGTAAAGCCAGTTCCCCCTATACTTCTCAGTTCTCTAGAATGTTTCAATCATATTCAATTAGCTGAGACTTGTATTCTAATACCTAAATGTACTAAATTAAATTGTTTCCTAATCCTTGTTCCCTTTGTCTCTCCTCCAGATGCTGAGAGTTGAAGCACCAAGGCTGACTCAGGCGACCCCTTCCCTCCCCCCTCACCTCCCCTTTCAGTTTGATGTCCTGCAGTCCACCCATGAGCTTCTTCAACACTTCAAGCTCTTCTGTGATTGGGCATACAGAGCATTCCTTATCCTCAAGCCCAAAGTCACTGCAGTACAATGACGCTCAAAGCTCCATTTATTTCCTCTCAACTACACTGCTGCAGCGACAGTGAGGACACATGGAGTTCCGCCTCAGCCAAGGAGGAATTAGGACCATGTCAGTGTGCACTGTAGTCTTTAGCATCCCTTAAAAGGCCCAAACTTCAAACTACGACATGTGTGTTGAAGAATGTTTCACCATCAGAGCCAATAAGGATAAGCTATACTGCCGCAAGCTGCCAACACCTTCAAGATTTCTGTTATAAAAAGTGCCAGTTTAACTACAATGTCAAGATTCTCCAAACTCTCTCCTAAAGGCCTTGTAAATGAACTTGTTATTTATGTATTTATTTATTTATTAATTGTTAGTAATTTATTTAATTTTATTTATTAAAAGTTGTAATGTGTCACTCTTATCCTTATTTCTGTATTAACGTGAATTTGTTTGCCCACATCTCTGTAATCTTTCTTTATTGTCTTGTGTCTCACTGATCCTAAAAAAAAACACAGTAGCACTTCCTGACTTTTATTTGAATTAATCTACTTTGCATTTGTGTATTTCTTTAGCCAATGATTCTTCCAGTAGATGTAGCATTCATATGGGAAAGCCAAGGTTTTCAATGATCTTACTTACAGTGCCCTTATAGTAACAATGTTAAGCGTGCCATGTCTTAACGTATACATTGAAATTAATTGTATTTTTATAAAAATGTAAAATGGTATCAAAGATAAGTGAATAATTTCTGTTTTACTCTCTATTGTTATTGTTTGTTTCTCGCATTCTGCATAGGGAGGCACATTTGAGGTTGTGGTTGAGTTGTAAGAATGTGCCCTGTTGTTGAGCACTGATGGACCTGATTAGATCCTTTGCACAAACTTGTCAGGATTAACCTCTTGGATGAGTCAAATGGCTGATTTTGAACCTGTGCTTTGGGGAAGAAAAGTTTGTTTTTGTTAGTTATACACCCAAAGCCTTAAAATACTATGTATTGTGACACTATGTTTTGTACAGGTGTACATACGTGTACAAGAATGTAAATTGTTGTATACAACGCTTTTGTGTATTTTGTTGTTTTTCTAAAATGATAATGTAGATTACTTTACCAACTTTATCACTATAATGTTTGTTCATTCCTATTCTAGTATTTGTTACAGTATTGACTATTTATTTAAGTAATTTGGTGGAACTATTTATTTGTGCTGCAGTGGAGCAAGTCTCCACTATTTTTGTACTTTTATACAGTTTGTATTCTTATTTACTATTATTATACCATCATGTTTAAATTATTGTCATAACATCAAGATGCCTCTTCCACACACTGATTGGCCTCAATGTGAAATATGTGCCTTGGTGAAATAAATACTAAAGAATGTGCACAATGAATTTGAGTATATCTTTGAAAACCGTGATCGACCTATAGCATCTAGTGTCAATTATGGCAGATGGGCATGCTGATACTACGTTACCCAGAAGTCTGTGCGCTAATGTCAGAAAAAACGCAAACATATTGTTTATGAAAAAAGATTAATAGATGAATGTTTGAGATGTAGTAGTCTAGGCACAACATCGATAGGTTATTTACTCTCAATTTAAAGTTAAAACATATATTTTTAAGCCGTCAATCTGCTTGTTGAAGCTCTTAACCAATAGTAGAGCGCATCTATTGTGACTAACAGCCAATCACCTTCGCTGTTCTTAGGAGGCGGCATCGAGTGGAGAACTGCTGTTAGTATGCGCTGTGTTTATTGTTAAGGTTGTGTGGATTAGCACTGCAGTACCTTTTTCCATTATTATAATATCAACAATATAGCTAAAGATGAGTTAAAGATGCCCGGTGAGTACTGCTTCAGCCTGTATTTATGCACATCTTTATCGAGCGGTTTAACCACGATTTTACGCATTGATGGAGGCTAGTTTAGCTTTAAATGAAGGCCAGTAGTTGTATTTGTTGATACTGTTAACACTGATATGTTCTGTGCGTCGTTTTTGTTGGTTTGATTACATTTGAATATAGTTATGGAGTAGCTTCATGTGTAACCTAGCTGTAGCTTCTGTGTGTTTTGCTAGCAAGCACCGCACTGCGGGGTCGGACAGAATCGGACTGATTGCCAGAGGAAAGACAGCAGGGAGGGAGGGGGGGGGGCAGGTTCAGAGACTGGAGGGAAGGTGGGGGCATTTAAAGGGAACATTCTCACCAGGAATTACCAACTAATTATACTGTATTTATTTCCATTTCACTCTTTGTCAGACTCATCCTGAGCTTCAACTTTGGACAGCTGATGTGTCCAGTGGCTGACAGGGAGAACAACAATGGAAATAAACCATGAATGAAGGAAAGCTGAAAGAAAAGCTATGATACTGCCCCAAAACTGATCCACACCTGCTGCCAAGAAACACCCCTCATCTGCTGCCAGATTATTCTGGAAATGGCTAACACTGTGGCCTTGGTGGTCCAAGCAGAACTCTTACCATCTCAGTCCACCGCCTCCCTTTCTCCTTTCCCTTCATCCCTTCTTGGCTCTGGAGAGGATGGCGAGGACAATAGGGACAGAGAAGAGATGGTGGAGGGAGACAAGGGAGTAGTAGAACGTGAGGTAGAGGTGGTTCTGGATATGGTTGAGTCCTCTATGCCGGACCCACCTCAGCAGCCCGAGCAGATGGACCATCCCTTCCTGTGTATGGATTGTGGGAAGAGCTTCAGGTGGTCTTCCAGGCTCACCCATCACCAAAGGAGCCACAACAATGAGAGACCATACCGCTGCAACCTCTGCCCCAAGGCCTTCAAGGGCTCCTCTGCTCTGCTCTACCACCAACGGTACCCATAATGGAACTATTTTACCACCTTTACAATGGTTACGCTGTTACTGTACAGTCGTGAAGTCCCATCAGTATTGAAGTGAATAGGAGAGAGGTATAAGTGTCCAAATTGAGGAAAACTCAAAGTAGTGTAATCCATTAACAGCTATAAATGGTGCAAGACTATGTCAGTGTATATGACAAACCATAAACAAAGTGTTACATATATTTTCTATGTATTATGTGTCACATCTGTTGATTGTTGTAATTGATTGAGTTATCTTCTTAAATATTTCAATTTTTCAGGTCTCACTCAGGGGAGAAGCCTTACAAATGTCAGGAGTGTGGAAAAGCCTTCAAACGCTCCTCTCTGCTCCAGGTGAGATGTCAAATAAAGGCATTTTTATAAACAATGATTTCCTCAGGGAAAAGGAATCACTGACAGATGCATTCACATCTCTTTCTGTCTCCAGGTCCATCAGAGTGTCCACACTGGAGTGCGTACCTTCTTGTGTCCCTATTGCCCACTGACTTTCAAATGGAGCTCTCATTACCAGTATCACCTGCGCCAGCATACTGGAGAGTGTCCATACCCGTGTGACACCTGCCCCAAGGCCTTCAAAAACTCGAGCAGTCTGCGGCGACACAAGAACGTCCACCTTGGTCTCAAGCCTTACACCTGCACAGTGTGTAACAAATCCTTCACTCAGTCTACCAACCTAAGGCAGCACATGAGGATCCATACAGGTGAGAGGCCCTACATCTGCGGGGAGTGTGGACGAAGCTTCACGCATTCATCAAATCTCGCCCTTCACAAGAACTCACACTCGAACCCAGGAGGAAAGGAGGGAAAGAGTGGAGGTGCTGCCAAGAAGGGAAGTGAGATAGTGGAGATTTTGGTAGGATCAGAGGAAGTGACATCGTCCATGTTGACGGACATGGTGGGATTTGTGAGCCAGGAGGGAACTGATGGAGTTGGGGTGGGGATGGAAGAAGTGTTTCTGTCGACCACCCCGTCCGGACAGAATTCAAGCCTTCTCCCCCAGCTCACTCTCACCTCCTCCAGGGAAGGCATGTACACATCTAGGGCCATCGGGACGGAGGTTCACCTGAGCACAGACACCGGTACCAGTTTGCTGCTGTACAGCTGCGGCAGCTGCAGCCACAACTTTGGCACGCGGACAGATCTAGAGGAACACCAGGTCAACCATATGGCTCCAGAGGGAGGCGGTGCTGGTGGAGAGGCAGGGTCTGGAGTAGGGATGGAGGTTGGGGATGGGCTGGTGGGAGCTGGTCACCTGCTGGCTGATTTTGAGGAGGTGGTGGAGACGACCACAGCGGCTGAAAATGGACACACAACAGAGGTGCTTCTTGGACTGACGGGGGCAGCAGATACAGTAAGTATTAAACGGATTATTGTAAGAAGAGATTGATAGAACTACCTTAAAAGAGGATTCAGCAATTTGATTAGCAATTCAAACGGGTCTGGTGTTATTGTCGTTGAGGGCTGTCTTACCTGGTTAAATAACAATTGACCAATTAGAAGAAAGTAGGTAGGGGTATAAATGGGATTTCCTTTTTTAGCTTGCTAGCCAGATTCCTGCTTAATGCGGCTATCATAATCATCATAAATCTGTGATAAACACTTGTCGAAAAAAAGAACAGTTAATATTAGAACATTTTAAATGAAACTTAGAAATGAATATTTATTAAAATAAAATAGACTAAACCTTGATAATGATACAAACTATACTATTAAGGTATTTGATTAAAAACTAAATAAATTAAACAAAATAAAACATATCCTGTTTAATGTGATATGGAATAGAAGGGCCATACTCTGAAGGTAATTAGAAAAACACTTATCTGTCTACATAATCTAATTTTAATGAATCTAAATAATACGTAATCCCTCTATAAAGTGCTTAGGATCTGAAGATTTGTTTCATGTGTAACTTCCCTTTGGTTTGTCCTCAGAATTTGGGCACCTCCCAGGCCCAGTATGACCTGCTGCAGAGCTTCACCGAGGTGACTCAGAGCTCGGAGACCGTTCAGCCAGAGGCCAGAACCACATGGGCTGGGTTGTCATGTGGCTACTGCAATAAGACCTTCAAGACCAGTGGAGGCCTTAATAGACATGTATCACTGGTGAGAATGACCTTCTAACACTGGTATTCAAATGACAGCACTGAATATTGAGCACTGAGATTTATATCCTACACTTTGATTTCTCTATCCTGGAATAATATGTGCCTCCTGTGTTCCCCTTTTGTTTTTCCAGATACACTCCCTCTCCTCACAGTCCCGCTCCCAGTTCAGCTGCTCGGCCTGCGACCGCTCCTTCCCCCTTCTCTCCTCACTCCTCACCCACCAACACTCCCACACGCCTGAGCAACGTCTCCTAGCTGAGGCCGAGGCTGAGATAGTGTGCCCTCCCTCCCTTTCTCTGTCTCTCCCCCTTCCCTCCTCTCCCAGCCACGATGACAAGCAGCAGGGAGGCCCGAGGAAGATCCATATTGACATCATTGCTGTCGGCGAGGAGCACGAGGTACAACCGGCCAAACCGCCAAAAGCCCCCAAAAAGACGGGAGCCAGCAAGAGTGCTCTTGTTGGAGGTAAATGTATTTCCATAGCAGGGCAGACACAAGACATTGAGATTTGACTGGAGAAAAGACAATATGAGACAAGAAATATGTTCATTTGTTTTGGTATGATATGCATTCCCCCTTCAAAGCTATCAGCAATATATCCGATATCAAATTGGTTAACGCTTACAAGGATCTTCTTTACCATGATAATTACTACAACGCTTGCATTTTTTACTGTATTAATTGCCATTATTAGTTTAAATGTTCACATTTGTGATGCTCTGTTTGCACACTTTGGTACAGAGAGGCCATACCGCTGTTCAGAGTGCGGCAAAGCCTTCAAAGGTTCATCAGGGCTGAAGTATCACATGAGGGATCACACTGGGGAAAGGCCCTACCGCTGCACCGAGTGTGGAAAGAGCTTCAAAAGGTCGTCTCTGCTTTCAATCCATCAGAGGGTAAGGCTTTTGTTGACAGAAATGGACACACAAATTAAGGCTCCAAATTAGAGAGCTATCCTTTGGAGCAACATTTTATAATTGATGTCAGCGTAAAACTTATGATGTTTGTAGTTTACAGGGAATGCAGCAGTCTAGAACGGTTCACAACTATGCAATCAGCTAAATTAAAAAAAAAAAAGCAATAAAATACATACCGTCAATGAAAAAGTCACACTTTGTTGTGACTCGATGGCTTTTTTTGCACAAACAGTGTTATAACAGTTGTAACTGTTGATTGCATCGTTGACATAAATGTTTCCTGGTCGCAAGTCTTTGGTTGCATTTAGCTCTTATGGGAAAAAAACGATTAAAAAAAAATGTATAGGATTTTCTACTGTAAAAATAATTGAATACTACATTCAAAAAGGAGCAACTTAAGCAAAACATAACACCAATATGCTTTTTCAATGACTTTACCCAGGTACACACAGGCGTTCGGGCATTCCAGTGCCCTCACTGCCCTCTCACCTTCAAATGGAGCTCTCACTACCAGTACCACCTGCGGCAGCACACCGGCGAGAGGCCATATGTGTGTAAGGAGTGTGGAAAGTCATTCAAAAACACCAGCTGCCTGCGTAGACACAGTCAGATGCACTCTGGGCTGCGGCCTCATACCTGTTCCATCTGCTCAAAGTCTTTTTCCCAGACGTCAAACCTGAAACAGGTCAGTAATGCCGGCACAGTCTCAGCTAAGAACTCATGTAGAGTCTACACTTTTTTGATGGAAATAACAAATTGTGATCTTAATACGTCTTCCTTCTTCTCATGTCTAATTTTTTTTGTTATCAGCATGAACGCACCCATTCTGGAGAGAGACCTTTTCAGTGCACACACTGCAATAAAAGCTTTACACACTCCTCCAACCTCCAGCTCCACCTTCGCACACACTCCTCAAGCAAGGACTTCAAATGCCCGTACTGCTCTAAGGAGTTTGTCATGCACTCCTACCTGCAGAGGCACATCCGCACCCATGGCAGTGGCGTTCCTATGCCCTGCGCCAGTGGTGTAGGTAAAGATGGAGTGGCTGTGAAAGCCAGTGTTGGGGGAGTAACAACCACGACCACCCTGCTCAACCCCATCACCCTGGAAACCTCAGGAAACCAAGGCAGCCTGATTGTTTCTCAACCAGCACTTAATATTCCCCCAAACACCTCCCAGAACTACTTTATGATTCAGACAACCAGCGGCCTGCAGCTCATCCCTCTCACTTCCCCTCCACCGGCCCTCCCTCTTCCTCCTCCACCACCACCTCCACCTCCGTCTCAGCCCCAAAACTTTTTCCTGGTACAGTGTCCCTCCAGCAATGACAGCCAGTCAAGCTGGATTCTCGTCCCCACGGGTAACCACCCTCCACCAGCTCCGGAGCCTGTCCCGGTGCTTCAGACTATCCAGGCACTCCAGCCCGTCCTAAACCAAACACAGACTCGGATATCCCCCTTTCACTCCATATCGCAGCAACAGACCAGGTTTATAATCACCAACAATAATAGCAATGCAAACACTCCTGTTGCCACGCACACTTTGCCAGCCAACTCCCTGCTAAACAAGCCCATACTGGGGAAAAGCACACGGACTGCTCGGGGCAGACGGGGACGCAAACCCAAAGCTGCTCTTCAGCAACCTCCAGCATCTCCTGCCAGTCAGACTGCAGGTGGAGCTCCGTCAGGAACAAACTGTAACGTCTCAAACACCATCACTACTGCTAACACATCACCATCATCTGTATCCACAACATCTTGCACTGCCGTCCAAATCCTTTCATCCTCCATTACTGCAGCCTCCACACTGGACCCCTCAGGACCCACATCATCTGTTACTATGGTTACACCAGCCACCACATTAACTACAACATCAGTTTCTACTCCTGACCCCGCTACTCATACCACTTTGGGGAACATAAGAACAGGGGAAAACATGTCAGGGAAACAGTTTGTGTTATGTTTTGATAATAAAGGAAGGCCCAAAGAGGGGATGAATATGGAGGAGGGTGGGCATTCATACGTGTTACAGTTTGACGGGGAAGCATCAGGTGAGGCCGATGGAATGGGTGAAGAGGGGAAATCACTCGTGTTGCAGTTCAAGACAGAAGGGGAAGGAGCAAAGGGGGAAGATAAGGGAGGGATGATGTCACTTCTGCGTGAATGGAGTGAAGGAAAGCAGGGGGAGACGCAGACAGGAGAGAAAAGCGGCCAGGGAGAGTCTTATGTCCTTCATTTCCACACCGATGCACAGGACGACGGGCCATCTGCTGCAACCTACAGCCAAGGGCAAGAAACCAGCCTGCAGCTTTCCTGCACTCCTACCCAAAGTTTGGTGCCACTTGATGGGCAGCAGGTCGTGTTCGAACTAGGTGGTGAGACAAAAATGGAGCAGGAAAGTGAGGAAGGTATGCAGATGATAGCTCTGATAGAAGGTGAAGGGGGGATGATGGGAGAAGAAGGGACAGATTGTCATGCTGCAACTGGCAGGATGGAGGATGGCAGAGGAACCATGGAAGGCTTATTTCAACTGGGAAATGGAGAGGAAATTGTCATAATTGAGGTCAGCACTAGTAGTTTAAGAGATGGAAGAGTGGAGCGAGGAGGGGATGGGGAGATCTCACAGAGGCGTGAAGTGAAATATGAGAGTGTAACGGCTGAGGCAAATGAAAAGACTGTAAATTAAGTAGACTCTGCATCCAATGTAGAAGTACAGACGTCAAATGAGGATGCAACAAGAAATGGACCTATACCTAACTCTAAAGAGATGCAGTTCTCTAACTAAAAGTGTGCATGTTAGAGAAGAACAGAGTGTGTGTGAGTGTGAGTGAATGCTTAACTGTGGGAGCAGTGTGTTAGCACTTTAGTTTGAGTTCTCCTGGAGCTGGGGAAGAATATGAAGTTAAAGGAGTACTGTGTTGTAATCCCATGGTGCCACAAACTAGAAATGTTATACATTTAAATAGGCTGTACATGGACCTTGGAATATTCCTCAATATATTAGTTTAAATGATACTGTCACTGGCAGTTTGTTAATTAAGTAAATACGTTCTTTGTGAATATATGTTGTACATGGCCCACTTTCTTCACAATGTTAATAGTAATTAATTATTAATAAATATGTCAATACCTTTCAACATTTGCATTGTTTTGCTTTCTTGTAATCAATGGTGGAATAAGTGTTCAGATATTTTAGTTAAAGTACTAATACCACAGTGTACAAATAATACTCTGTAGTAAACGTCCTGCCTTCAAAATCTTAACTAAGTAAAAATAAATATCGTCATCAAAAATACTTGAAGAAGCAAAAGTTCTCATACAGACTTCCCCTTTCCATAATATTATGTTATTGGATTATAATTATGTATGCATTAATGTCTGCATCACTTTAATGTTGCAGCTGGTAATGGCGGGGGTAATTTGTATTGTATATGTTCTATTATCAAAGGAAATCTTTAAAGTAACTAAAGTGATTGCTTTCCTCTAAACTGTAGTGGATTTTTAACAATGAAGTAGCATGAAGGAGAGGAATACTGAGGTAAAGTAAAAGGACCTCAAATTTGTACGTAAGGTTGAATAAATGTAACTTTTTTCACTTTCCACATCTACTTGTACAATAGTTTAAGTTTGTATCCTTTTAAAACACACTGTTTAAAGGTCATTGCATATGCTGCGCTGTTTATGTTGTTACGGTTGCATTCGCTATTCACGTATACTTTACGTGGTGCAGATTGTGTTTACGCAAATGTCGTAGATCGACACACTGAAAACGTGCAACGGGACGTAAAGCAGAGTACGTTGGTTTTCAGAATCCCTGATTTTGCGCAAAAGCGACTCAGGACATCCAATCAAACGTGCCGATCCTGCACAGGCTTCACAACAAACTGAGGGATACATGCAGTGTTTGTTTTTTTAACCTATTTTCATTTAAATGTGAGCAGCGTGACGGAGAAGGTAAGTGTAACTGGGGTCCAGAGCAGGGGTCTGCATGTGTCAACATTGCGTTACAACCATATAAGGATGTGATTCATGTGAATTAGGTATTTTTAGTATCGATGTTCACCGATAACTTGCAAATGAAAGCTAGCATAGCGTGACAAGCACTGAGTGATGGTGACACACATGCATGCTTCAAATCCTCCATAATCCCCATCTGTCTTTGTTTGGAGCCAGCGTGGGTGTGTGTGACATTGCAAATACTGGCTCGTTGTAGGTGAAGACTACTGCATTGGAGGTTTATCTATGACCCCTTTCAACTACAGCATGTGTGTCATGGTATATATTAACCAATAAGGCACTAACCAGTCCGTCAGTCTAAAATAGTATTCATTATATGTATGTTTTAGAATCAAATATCCCAAAGTTGCATTTCGCTCTCACCATGAAATCATAATATCATTCTGCCCATGACCTCTTTAAATGTGTTTGTAGGGTCTCTGTGCACACTGTGTGGATGTGTGTAGCCACAGTGGTGCAGCAATCCTGCTGTTAGATCATAAAGTCTAAACATGGTGAGGCTGGAGCTGGACAAGGTGGTGATGCGGAGGATGAAGGAGGACGACATAGAGATGGTCAAAGCCCTCATCAAGGTTTGTACAATATACGTTTTAGAGTGACTGCTTTCATAGTGGTGGGAAATGACCCCTTGTGATGTTTATTTTTTAATATTTTCTTAAACTTGCCAGGAGGGCTGCGAGGGCACAGAAAACCGTCTCATCCTCCACGTCCTCACTCGTCCGCTCTGCCTCTTCATCCTGGCTGTTATCTCCTCAGTCCTGCGCTGCCTTGTCCATTCCTTTATCCTGGCTCTTGCTATTCCTGTCTTCCTGCTAATTATCTTTCTCAAGATCACCATGCCGCGCTCCACAGGGGTTCTGGGCAGCAGCCTCCCCTACTGGGACTATGTGGGTAGCAGCTACAGAGGGACACAGGACGAAACACTGCCAAATCCCTTCTCTAGGATCAGTGGCAAGACACCAGGGACTAACAAGGTTAGTCTCCTGATTTGCTGGAAAGTGTTTTGGTAGTTTTCACTTACATCTAGGGAATATGTTGCAGACAAATAATCCAACTTCTACTTATTTTTGTAATAATATTTTCTTTTACTCAGCCAAGGCGCAAAATCACACCCAAAGACAAGGACAAAGAGTTGCCGACAGAGAATGTCTCCCTAGAGAGGGAGCAGGAAGCAGGGCTGGTCTGGGTGGCAGACTGCGATGGTGAGATCCTGGGCTGTATTTTCAGAGAGAGCGAGAAGCGTGCGGACATCAGGAGGATCTGTAGGGTGGTGACAGGGGTCCTGGTATCGCAGAGAGGGCCTGGGCCGGCTGCTTGTCCACAGTCTGGAGCAGAGAGAGATGGAGGCTGGAGCCCTCCGGGTGTACACACACATCCCCTTCCCCTCCAAGCTGGGTGAGGCCTTCTTCAGGAAGCTGGGCTACCGACAAATTGGGGAGGGGACTGATGATGAAGAAGATTTTGAGAAGAATAAGCTTGAGACTCCAGAGAGGGGCTTTCTGGGACACCCCCTCACTAAAGTGTTTTACAAAGACTTGTAGTTTAATGGTGATGGCCTCACGGAGGGACGAAAATGGCCCTAACGTAAGGGCACTATGGATCTCTGCGGACGGTGTCAGTGTTTTGTCTAAGTGCTTTTGTGTGATTTCATAATTTATTATACGTGTTATTTATCCCAATATGTATTTCCGGATTTGCTAGTGTTATGTATATTTTTTACCTTTTCGTCATATAAAGAACCATCCCTCTTAAACCCACTCCAAAAAACATAATTGAGCCAGAGTCATGCTGTTTTCTCATTATTTTTAATAAAATGAAAAACATATTGATGTAACATGTTTCTTTCCTTCAAATGTTAAAGTGTGGATCTTTCCCAGAATCATATTCAAAGTGTGTGTGTGTGACCGTGACCATACAGATGTGCAGGAGGATGTACAGTTACCGTATAGGAAGTGTTGTTTGTGTGAATCTGCAGCTTGAATTTGCTTTTATCTTTCTGCGCTCCTTCACTGCCGTTGCTCACCGTTACGTACAGTATGTGGGTACATGAGTCTGCAAAAACAATGATCCCCACCTCATTACTAATATTTGTATTCCTTCATGTGAATTTATAAAAAAAACTCGTGAAAAATCTCTCAAATGTATGTCAATTTGGAAAATAGTGTCTCTAAACTAATTTCCTTTTATATTTAAACAGCAGGTGAGATACAATACAAGCATGGAGATGCTCTGACTCCGGAGTGTGTGTGGTTTTCAGGTGACTGGCTGTTTATGTGACTAAGTGGGGAAATGCACACAGCCCCAGACTGAGGCTAACCTTAAAATGTTAATAGATGATCTACCTCCTGCTAACCTCAGGCGGTGTCAGTATAGCATCAATGTGCCGCAGATAAACACCACAGGATGTTTGTACAATGTTAATTTGTGTTGGAAAGAGGCATATCTCACCTGATGGGAAGACAAATATAGGCCGACTGTATACTTTACTTCAAACTCAATCATGCACGCTGTAGTGGAAAATCCCTGTCCTTTAATTAACTTTGATGAAAAGAGCTGAGACACCCAGTAACATAACAGTGTTGTTACATACATGAGTAAGTGTGTGGTCGGGTCATTTTCACCTTGTGAAAGCTGTGTTTTTACGTCGGCCACTTCTTGGTCATCATCAGGTTGTTTCTTCATGACTGTCAAAGAGCAGACACCTGTTAGCCGGTCCACTACCCGCCCAATCTGTACAAACTATCTGTAGCTATTATTGTTGTCAGGAAACAGATGTGAGTTCACACACTGGAAAGAAAGTCTGTTTGTGACTGTGGTCATGTGCGTCTGCACGGTATGGCTGTGTGTGAGTGTTTGTGTGTGCGTGTTCAGGGTGTGGGCGGGTGGGTTTTGGAAAGTATGACTCTGCATTTCCTTCACTCGGTTTCTGCCCCTGACTGGGTTGAATGCACAGCTGTGTCTGGCCATATTGTACTCCATCACATACACACACACACACACACACACACACACACACACATATCAGGGGAGTAGTAGTGCACATGAGCGTTCATGTGTGACTGTGAGATGACCTTGGTCAACTTTGTTCAAACCCAGAGAGCTGGGTGGGAAGTGGTTACATATAGTTTGGCATTTGATCGGCCTCTTGAAGTTGAGAAAATAGACATGAACACAAGATCAAATGTTCAGAGACATTAAGTTTAGTGCACCGTCAGAGTAATGCAATATGAAGTGAGGTCGCTCAGAGCATGCAGACACACATAGACGTGAATCACTCTAAATTTTGGGGCACCACACAATCAAAGGATAAATTAGATAAATCTGTTCCAGATGAAGTATAACATATAGACTGTGTTAATGACATGCTCATACAGATGGCTAACACACACACATACACACAGATGAGCTCCAAAAACAGCCACCCTGGGAAACGGTGAATTCCCCAAACCACAGAGTGCATGGGAGGGTGAGGGGAGTCATGGGAAAGCAGGATGCCTGCATGCAGTGCCACTGAGGGAGCAGACTGGGCCAGAGCTAAAACAGACAGAGCAAGGAAAAGACGAGAACAAAATAATACACATCCTCATTTGGCAAGGACGGGTGACAGCATCTGATGGTTCAAAGGCTTCTGAGAGAGATTCATCCACATACTGCGGTCGGTCAGCTGGCCGGTCGGTCTAGCACACACGTAGGGGTGAGGGAGGTCGATTACAGTTCTGCTCCCAGCCTGACACAGTTTGGGAAAACCCAGATCAGAGGACGAAGTAGGTGTAAAGACCTCAGAGGCCTGGGAACGCCTGTAGCTCCACCAAAACGAGGGGCCCAGAGAGGTGGGGGGACACGCTAGGTGGAAAGGCTGAATAGCAGGAGGGGTCAGTGACAATCCCACAGTGGATCAAGGTGAGAAGGTATTTGGAAGTTTTTACCCAATGATCTTGGAAAACTAAAGTGGAGAGCCAGATACTGTGATGAGTTTTCGGAGTGTTTGGAAAGTTCCAGCCAGTTGGCTCACTTTACTGACGTCTGTGAAATACTCCAAAGGTTACAAAGCACGTCAAACACTCATGTGTGGTCACTAAGATTATTTGTTTGAATCTGTGTTGTGCAATTTGGCGACCAAATGACATTCCTTTCACATCAATCACTTAGTGTACAAATGTAAAAATGTTCAACACACAGGAAATGATGGCCTTGAAAATCTTTTTGAAAATCTTTTATTCATTTATAGATGTAATTGTTTTGCAGCAAGACAATACAATGACTCTGTTTCATTTGTATCACGCACCATGAACTAATTTTGAAAAAAAATTCTGTCCAACCAGAAGCTGCTTCTGTTGTGTGCAGGATGTTAAAGTTAAAGGTATATGTTCTCAGTTCCCTCCCTTTAACCCCCCAATAAACAGACACACACACACACAGACACACACTTCCACTCACTTTAGCTATTTGTCATTTACCTCCGTTTATTGCCCACGCCTGCCAAAGGACAAAGCAGCGCGTCTTTCGAAAATGATCACAAAGCTTGACAGGTGAGCAAAATGAATACATTCTATTCATATGATGTATTTATTTCTGTTTGACACACATTTATATAGATTACACATGCAAACTATTACATTTATTTTTTATAAGTGTTTATTATGTTGATAATACCAACATAAAGTATTATTCAGTGAAATTCAGTTTCAATAACTCTGGTACTCTACCAGCTTGAGCATAATGTGGTTTCGGTATTAATGAGTAATGATAACTGTCCTGGTTTCGCTAAAAGCGGTGAAACTGAGAGTGAGATAAAAGGAATAAATGAAAGTTGTCTTCTGAGTGTCCATTACTCACATGTGGTTACCCGCAGGCTTTGCATGAGTTTATTGTGCTAACTTCTTAGGATTGAAACTTGAATATGTGTGATTCATCTGACTAATTATAAGTGAAAGGAGTATTTCATGAGTTTCTTCACAGAGACTGTCTTAGAGTTTCCTGATTTAGAATTACGGAATACTACCGAGACCATCTGTCACCAACGTTTTTAGTGTGGAAAACACTTTTGAGAATTACTGATGAAATCTTGACTGATAAAATCACAATGCAAAGTTTTTTTAAGGCGGACCTAAGCTTAAATTAAAAGTGTTATATCCTTTAGGTAGGCTTCACTGTGGATCATAGCATTACATAATACAAATTGCAAATTTTTCTCACTTTGACTCAGCGTGCTTTTGCCTCGAAAAAAGTTCATCTACCATTACAAGAACATGCGCTGGGCAAGGGGCCGGTGTGAGACATACCTCTGCTTTGTAGTGAAGAGGCGGGTGGGACCAGACTCCTTAACCTTTGACTTCGGACACCTTCGCAATCGCAATGGCTGCCATGTAGAGGTATGGGTCAAGATGGAGCAGCATGTGAGAGGGGCCTGTTCAGGGGCAAAATAATAACTGTAAATATTGAATTGTATCCCTCCTGTTTTCTGTGTCATCCTTCACCTCCATAGCTGCTGTTCCTGCGCTACCTGGGCGCCCTGTGCCCTGGTCTGTTGGGATGTGAAGGTACTGGAGAGAAGAGGCTCAGTTACTCCATCACCTGGTTCTGCTCCTGGTCCCCCTGTGCAAACTGCTCCATCAGGCTGTCCCAGTTCCTCAGCCAGACGCCCAATCTTCGCCTCAGGATCTTCGTCTCTCGTCTTTACTTCTGTGACATGGAGAATAGCCCTGCAAGAGAAGGCCTAATAATGCTGAAAAAAGCTGGCGTGCAGACCTCAGTCATGAGTTACAAAGGTGGAGGCACAAATTGGTGTTTATGTGGAAGAGACATACAGATAGAGCCCATGTACAATGATTACAATGATTACAATGTGTACATGATTCCAGATTCAGAAACAAATGAAAGGTTAAGCAAACCGAAAAAAGCTATTGTTTTCTTAATCATGCATGTTCATGTTTGCCCTTTCTTTTCAGACTTTTTCTATTGCTGGCATAACTTTGTGGATTGTAAACAGAGTAAATTCAAGCCATGGGAAGATCTGCACCAAAACTCTGTTCGCCTTGCCAGAAAACTCAAACGCATCCTTCAGGTACATTTACCCGACTGAATGTTTTTCCTCAAACAACAGGATTAAATCAAACCAATAATTTGTTTAAAATCCTAACACTGATATTATTCTCTCTTTCTTTCTTAGCCGTGTGAAACTGAAGATTGGAGAGATGCCTTCAAGCTTCTTGGACTGTAAGAAATACTTGTGACCTACTCTAGTGTCACTTTTAAGTTTATATAAACAAACATGTCTATCATTCACTACAACTGCTAAACTGAGAATGAGAAAAACTGAGAAAAAGCTGCTTTCAAGTTGTGCCAAGGCTTGCAAGGATGAGTAGCTGCTGCTTGCTGTTTCTATAGTAGGATATTTTGAGGTGAAATAAAACAATGAGATAATATATTGTGTTGTGTTGTGTTGTTGATGTTAACTTATCTAGTTCTTGTTAGCCCATCAGCTTTTCAAAGATTATTGTTGAACTATAAAGGAGTAATTGAGAGCATTGTTAAGGATTGGCCTCAAATTAACCAGTTAAGCCCCGAGCCTGTTTTTCAGGTCTAATGCTCGAAAATGACATTCCCAGAACAAATGACTATATCTTCACTTCTAAAAGGGGTAAATTAATAATATTTGTTCTCAAAGCAATGATAAACCTGTGAGTTGGATGTAGAAGAGTCAGAATCAATATAGATTTTTTTATTTTAAAGTAAATTCAGATTGAACATAGTAAAAAAATGTAAATTATAGTCTGTCCAAAAAAAAAAACATTACATATAGTGAAAACCACCCTTGAATGATGGGATAGTAGA